AATTCACCAAATCTGGCCTGAAGTCTCCATTTGCTTACTGCATGATGATTCGCATTGCCAGTAAACTGCTGGAGGAGACAGAGGGAGGGTATGTGTATTGGACCTCAGTTTTTTTCAGGCTCATTTAGGCGATATTAACGTTATGCAGTTGCTTGTAATGTAGACTTACCTAGTCTGTCTACATGTGGTTTAACAGACATGATAGCCCGCTGTTTGACTTCATTGAGAGCTGCTTGAGGAATAAACATGAGATGGTGGTTTATGAAGCGGCCTCTGCCATCGTCCACATGCCCAAATGTACCGCCCGTGAGCTGGCTCCTGCTGTGTCTGGTTAGTCTTTCTTCTTTGCTTTCTAACCAGCAGACACAACAGAGTACACTAGATTCATTTGGTCTTTCTTTCTTTCTCTTTCCATAGTTCTCCAGCTGTTTTGCAGCTCTCCTAAAGCAGCTCTGCGATATGCAGCTGTACGGACCCTTAATAAGGTTGGTTTGAATAGGATTTAGTTTGTAACCAGTTGGAGTATCTATCAGCTACCACATGGAGACACCAAAGAACACATTTTTATGTTCAAAGGCATGGTTTTATCACACAAATAGTGCAAAAACTACATTCTAAATAGGATGAAATTGAATTCTGAATTTTTTGGCATAAAAAAAAAAGAGTTGATATGACCACTTTGGGGAAAAAAATACACAGGTGGCAATGAAGCACCCGTCAGCAGTGACCGCATGCAACCTGGACCTGGAGAACCTGATCACTGACTCCAACCGCAGCATCGCCACCCTGGCCATCACCACCCTGCTGAAGACCGGCAGCGAGAGCAGCGTCGACCGCCTCATGAAACAGATCTCCTCCTTCGTCTCTGAGATCTCGGACGAGTTCAAGGTGTGACTTCATGAACCAGACAGTGAATTTCAAGAAAATTAGAGAACAAACACATGCTTCAGATGCATATTCAATCATGTTTCAGGAGCTATGTACAAATATTATATTTTTTAAATGATCGGTCCAGTGGTAATGTTCTTGTAAACAATGTGTTTTCATAACCAAATGGCGTGTTTGTTTTCCAGGTGGTTGTGGTCCAGGCCATCAGTGCTCTGTGCCAGAAGTATCCCAGAAAGCACAGCGTGATGATGAACTTCCTTTCAAACATGTTGAGAGATGATGTAAGTTCATCCAAGGACGTGTGTTCCTCTGTTATTACACTGGAGTCTTGTAATCTCTTTTCTTGTGCCAAACCACATGACCAGATTTACACTTGATATCCTTAATACCTGGTTTACTTCTGATCTGTATTTTAATTATTATTGCCAAAAAAAGCTGAAAAACATTTACTTTTTCTATTAGACGGGTTTCTTTTTTTTTCTTTTGCAGGGTGGATTTGAGTACAAGAGAGCCATCGTGGATTGTATCATCAGTATCATAGAGGAAAACCCAGAGAGTAAGGAGACAGGCTTGGCTCACTTATGTGAGTTTATCGAGGATTGTGAGCACACCGTACTGGCCACGAAGATCCTCCACATGCTGGGGAAAGAGGGGCCACGTACCCCCACTCCCTCCAAATACATCCGTTTCATCTTCAACCGTGTGGTGCTGGAGAGCGAGGCGGTGCGGGCAGGTGAGTGATCTTGCGTGACCTTTGACCCATGTGTTAACCTCCTTGCAATGAGCTTTTAAAGACCTGCTCGTGCCACCTTAAGATTTTAGGAAGCTTGTGTTTGTAATATCCATTGGTACAGGTTTTTTGTTTGAGCGTCACACACGTGTCCCAGTAATTAACTGCAGTCAGACTGCAAGTAGTAGTAATTTTAAGCAGGGCTGATAATTTGATTCCAGAGACTAAGCTGAACAGCTTTAGGACATTTAAGCATTCTTCTGCTCTGACTCTCCTCTCACGTTTTTCTTCAAAGCTGCTGTAAGTGCACTGGCTAAGTTTGGGGCTCAAAACGACGACCTGCTGCCAAGCGTCTTAGTTCTGATGCAGAGGTAGGCCTGCAATGGCTGGAAGTGTGTGTGTGGAGGGAGTGAGTGTTTATACTGGTAATTTGAGTATTAGAGTAAGGAAATGAACAAAGATGTGTTTGGAAATCAATGCAAATGTTTGTTTAAAAAAAAAGAAAGAGAGAAAATCCTCATTAAATAAAATATTGAATATATGAACAATAAAATTTGGGTTTTTTTTTACTAAAAAGAGAAAATCCTAATTTATTTGATTGGATTAAAACAGTGATGCAAAGCAGAGAATAAAACTATTTTACCTAAAAAGTGAAAATCCTTGTTTAAATGGATTAAAATTGTTTCACATGGAAAAATAAAGTAATATATATTTTTTAAAAAGTCTGTATTTTAACCACTTTTACACAAAATTGTTTAATTACCAGAATGTAAGAATATTGTCATGTTAATGTTGCTTATTGCCCATGTCTAGAGAGAAATGTTTTAATGTGCTAATTTACTGTGTGTGTCTGACAGGTGTATGATGGACAGCGACGATGAGGTCAGAGACAGAGCCACATTCTACATGAACGTCCTTCAGCAGAAGCAGAAGGCCTTGAATGCCGCTTACATCTTCAATGGTGAAGGGTTGCAGTTGTTCTGGATATTTAAGATTCTTAATGTGTATCTGATATTGTATTTGGTTTGATTTAGCTGATGTGAGTGAACAAGGGTTGTTGAATGGTTTGAATGCAGGTCTGTCCGTATCTGTCCTTGGACTGGAGAAATCCCTCCACCAGTACACACTGGAGCCCTCTGAGAAACCGTTCGACATGAAGACAGTTCCCTTGGCCACTGCACCCATCACCGAACAGAAAACAGGTGTGAACCTGAGCTTCAGCAGCCCACACTGCTTATGATCCTGAGGCCAATAACTTCATTACTCATCATAATCCATTGCAGAATATTTTCATAATTATGTATGCTCAAAAAACGTTTCGTTTACATTCTACCATTGTTTGGCCTCTAATTTGGATGCTAATCATCTTATGCCTTTTAGGGTAAATCGCAGAGCTTACTCAAAACTGCTCAAATTGCACAAGCTCACTTCATTTTTCTCTTTCATGCCAGAAATCACACCCATGGCAACAAGCAAACTACCTGAAAAGCTTGCACCTTCCCGCCAAGACATTTACCAAGGTAAGAAGATTAGCTAATTAGCAAAACAATGCATGTGGCATCATTAAACCTGTCTGAAGCAAACTGTGCCACATTTCAACTGGTCCCCTTATTTTTCTCCCTCAGAACAACTTGCAGCCATCCCAGAATTCCAGGGCCTGGGTCCCCTGTTCAAGTCGTCTGAGCCGGTTCAGTTAACAGAAGCAGAGACGGAGTATGTGGTGCGTTGTATCAAACACACTTTCGCAAATCACATGATCTTCCAGTTCGACTGCACCAACACGCTGAACGACCAGCTGCTGCAGCGAGTTCTGGTCCAGATGGAGCCGTCCGAGTCGTACGAGGTGCTACATTATGTACCTGCACCAAGTCTCCCCTACAGCCAGCCCAGCTCCTGCTACAGTCTGGTCCGGTTACCAGAGGATGACCCCACAGCAGGTCAGACATGATCGATTCGCAGTATGATGTCAACTATTCTTGCTTGGGCAGATGTTAATTTTATATTTTGTTGTTTGCATTTGTCTTAGTCTCTTGCACGTTCAGCTGTACAATGAAATATCTGGTCCGGGACTGTGATCCCAACACGGGAGAGCCTGACGACGACGGTTACAACGATGAATATGTGGTATGTGAATTTTCTAAATCAGTCCACACTGCTGAAAATGGGAAGATTATCAGTGGCCATTCCTCACTCAATGTCTTGTTTCCCTCTCAGCTGGAAGATTTAGAGGTGACAGTCGCTGACCACATACAGAAGGTGTTGAAACCAAACTTTGGTGCAGCGTGGGAGGAGATCGGAGATGAGTTTGAGAAGGAAGAGACATTTGCTTTGGCCACAGTCAGGACTTTAGATGGTAAGATTGCTAAAAGGAATAGTTAACCTCAAAATGAAAATTTGCTGAAAAATTTACTCGCCCACGTTTTTTTTCATTGGAAATTTAGCATTGCATCACTTGCTCACCATTGGATCCTCTGCAGTGAATGGCTGCCGTCAGAATGAAAGTTTAAACAGCTGATAAAAACATTGCAATAATCCACACGACTCCAGTCCATCAATTAACATCTTAAGTTAAAAGCTTCATGTTTGTAAGAAGAGTTTTGTGGCTGGAGATAACAGAATGTGAAATGATCATCTCTTTATTGTGTTTGTCTTCACAGAGGCAGTAAATAACATTATCAGCTTCTTGGGCATGCAGCCTTGCGAGCGCTCGGACAAAGTTCCTGAAAACAAGAACTCACATGTTCTGTTCCTAGCAGGTATGTACTGACTTCATCACTCCAGTTTTGCAGTTTTGAGAGAATTTTAGTTCCTGTATTAATTTTCTAACATAAGCGATGAGGTTAATGATCTTGTCTTTCTGAAGGTGTGTTTAGGGGAGGTCATGATGTATTGGTGAGGGCACGTCTGGCTCTGGCTGACGGGGTCACTATGCAGGTGACTGTTAGGAGCACAGACGAGAACGTGGTCGACGTCATCCTGGCCTCTGTCGGCTAAACGAGTAATGTTTGAGTGACCTGGTCACATGCCAATCAATCTGGGTCATTGTGCTTTTATATGTATCTATATAGTAGCTCTATAACGTTTCTCACAACCAATTTTGTGGCTTGATATGAATTCTCGGAATCATCCTGTTTCTGTATTTGGTCTGTTCCGTTTCTGAGAGATGTCTAAAATACTGTGCCACTTTATTTCATGTGGAAGAGATCTAAACATTGTTTCTCTGGTATTTGAGCTGTTTTGACGTTGTGTCACGGCTCAGGGGGGAAAAGTCCTTTACTACAAACCTTTTCATTTATCAATAATAAAACAGAAAGAGTACAAAACTTGTATTGTTTTTTTTCAACACAAAACCTGAGACAATTCATACAAATACCTTTTTAATTGAATAAGTATTCATGCATTGAACACAAATGTATTTACAAGTAATGGCATTGTATTTGAGCAAACTCTGTTGTAATGACTGTTTGGGTATTTGGTGCAATACTTTCGGTTTCATGCATTTAAACACATGACTGACATTTCAAACACTCTGTGGTTTGTTAATAAATGGATTTGAATATTTTCTAACAACTTATTTGAGGCAGTATTCCACTCCGTTACTTATCTCAGAATGAGTTGATAAAGCTAAGGTAGGCATTAAAGAAGCCTGTGGGATCCTCCAGCTGTGGATAATGACTCACATGCTCATCTAGAACCGATACTGTGGATCTCTGCACTAGTTTCCTGTAAGTAAGGAACAAAGAGAAAAGTGGTTATAAAAGGACATGACTGGTAAAGAGGATGTTTACAGAGGACCGGCAATCTTGTTCTGTCTTTGCTCTGTCACAGCTTAGCTGTTTCATCTTTGTTTATAGGATTTGTTTCAACTTGAAACCACTGGTTTTACTTATAATAAAACCATGCAGAGACACAGATAGTGCAACACTACTCCTAAAGCCCGGGACACACTGCATGATTTTCTGCTGTCCCAGACGAAAGATTAGCATCGTGAAACAATCATGGTGATTTCTATGATCGTGGCTCCTAAACGGTGGCCCTATGTCGTACAGAGAGAGGTTCAAAGACGGACATTTTCACGGTCTTGTGACCAAAGATAGCCTACGATCATTTTCTGTCAGTGTCAGAAATCCAGCATGATCATCGCACAGTGTGTTTGCTGCAGCTATTAAAAATGCAACACGGCGCTAAAACATAAAACTGCTTACCTCAAGCTCTTATCCCTCCCTCCCTCTTTCGCCGCTTCCACTTTTTTCAGCACACATAAAAACTACAACCGCCAAACATCATGCTCATCAGATTCATCATGCTCTTTTTGTTTGTGTGTGTGTTCGTGATGGTGATTTTTGTGGCATTGTTCCGCCATTAGATGGCGACAAGAAAGACAGAATTACGAGTCAGTAGTAAAGACCTTTATATTGAAAGAAACTGAAACAAAAGTTATTTTTACTTTTAATAACAGCTTGTAAGATGCAGTTAACAAACACACTGAGCATCGGAAATCACCCTTAACAGATGAAAGGACAGTACGACAAAGATATCGCTTTCCTCAGTGGACATTCAAGCTAATGTTTTATTGTGAATATGAGACTGAGCTGAAGAATGAATGCTGTATCAGATGCAGGTAAACACACTCGCTCAGTCCATCTCTCTCTCATAATACTCGACTTCACATAATACACTTCTTTTAATACAGTAATACAATGTGCTTTCTTCGTCACTAGTTCTAAAGTGACGTTTTCGAATTAGTTACTGAGGCTTGAGCTCAGCTATTAAACTGCAAACAGAGATTTGAATCCATGGCGGAAGGAAGTAGTTCCACACAAAAGAGGGTTTTGAAAGATTCCGTTGTTTTTCTTATGCATTTACACACTCGTGCTGTCGAACTCTTCGAACGAATTTCCCCTTATTTACCAACAATGACAATAATAACTTAAAAGTTAGTTTAAACTGACTTAATAAATATAAATAACTTACTGGTAGAGCTGGATAAACTCAGGATGTGGATTAACTGGATCTAGTGGTCCATAAATCATGTGCACTATAAAGTAAAAAATAAAAAGTGATAAATCAGTGATATTTGCAAAGAACAAATGGTCAGGATGTTCTACATTACACAGCCTGACGTGATTTATTAACTAATCACCTTCCGAAGCAAAAAAAAACTATTCACAAAAAACAATACAACCCTCCTATCCTATAATGAATGTTAACATGTTTTTCGTGCTGCACTGCTTGTATAATATAGTATGCTGTGCAATACTTTACTGCATTCAACAATGTAAATGTTCACTTAATATATACTGTCACCTCAAACACTTATTGCCTGGGGTGAAGACAACCTAAGCAGCTTCCATAGTCATTTTTATTGGATTAAACTACTTAGCCTCAATAGCACTGCCCATGGCCGAGTTTTTAAGCAAACCACCGCAGTGAGTCATATTCACACACCTCATTCTGGTAGTCTGACGGTTACTCCAGCACTTTGTACCACAGTGTGAATGGTGTGTATACTCACATGGTGCTGAAGTGGAGGTTAGAGTCCCGACCCATCTCTCTCTGTGTTTCAGCCTCTGGTTAATGTACTGCAGGATACTGGGCAAGACACAACAAACGATATTTGGTGACCGTTATTATTAAAGGCAAAGCATTGCAGGTGCAACACATGGAGAAGTTTGGACACCTGTCCATGACCAGATTTCCATCATTAAAGCGAATGCCTGTCCACATGTCCCAGAACTCGGCTTCTGTTGGCTGGGTGTATGGTCCAAACACATCCCTTATTCTGTAGGGTGAATATATAATATTTGCAATTGAAGACTTTAGGTCACAGCTAACATGATTGAAGTAAATGATTTATGACTGTGTAAAGTACAACAAATAGTTTGAACTGTGTACTAGAGAGCATAAAACTAAACACTACTCCCATTCCGGATGCTCCACTCACCCTCTAGAGAAAAGCCGGAAGTTTATTAGGCGGGTAAATACAGGTGAAATGAAACCAGAGTCCTTCAGCACCTAGAGATGGCAAATGATTGTAAATATTTACTTCTCATATTTGAAAATGAAAACAAATATGTCTTTATAAAGTTCACACTCACTTTCTGAAGGAATCTTGGATAATGAGTCTCAGGGAATATTCCTTTAAAGATTGAAAACAAAATGAACAAAGTTATGAATCTCCATTCAGATTTCAAGAATATGTATTCGAATTTTCTGACCGCATAAAACTCTAATGTACCTCCATTTGAGAGGCAGAGGCTGTTTATCGTGATGTGTCCGCTTCTGTTATGGTCACTCCTGTGTGTTTAACTGCATGTGAGAGCCACCCAGATCATATTGACAGGAACATTAAGCTAAATTATGCCAAGAGACTTTTAAGGATCATTAGGGCTCACCTGTACAGTAACTCGAGAGCTACAGTGTCTCCGTAGTCATGTGACAGGATGTTGATCCTCTGCTCTGACAGACCCAAATGAGCAACCAGGGCCTCCACCACACTGGCCTGCTCGAAGATGGAGTAACGGTGCGGTCGCTGGAGTTTGTACGATAGAAGTAATGATTAAAATTATGGATAATAAAATTGATTCTTTAAAAACTGTAGTTGTAATTACTGCATGAGTTTCATCTCACCGGTTTGTGTGAAAAACCAAAGCCCAGGAAGTCGAGAGCAATGACTCTGTTAAAGCGTTGAGTCAGAGAATCCCAGATCTACAAAACAACAGAATGAGATTCAAGAAACATAAGTAAAAGCGCAGTGTCCAGCCACTGTCAATAAATTGCCCTCAGCATTAAACTATTGCTGCTTTATTGAAATGTTAATGCAGTTTTATGCCACAAAATTACTTTAAATGGCGCTCTGCTCACTTACCTTATACCAGTCATAGCTAGAAGTAGGAAAACCATGAAGCAGCAAGAGGACATCAGAGCTTCCCACGACACCAAATGACTCTATTGAAAAACGTGAATACAGTACATTATTATGTGTATGTATTGTGTATGTGTGTATGTATATATATATATATTGTTTCAACCAAGTTGATGGCCCCCATTGACTTCCATTGTATTTTTTTTCTCCATATATGGAAGTCAATGGTGACCATCAACTGTTTGGTTACACATATTCTTCAAAATATCTTCTTTTGTGTTCAACAGAAAAAAGAAACTCATACAGGTTTGCTATAACCTGAGGGTGAGTAAATGATGACAGAATTTAGATGTTTGGGTGAACTGTCCCTTTAAAGGCTGAACCAAAATTAATTCTGACATATTCTGCTGACATATCTTAATCCAAAACCAATTAAATGGTGCGTAATGGTAGCTTTTTGCTGGTCAACAAAACAGGCACAGGCACATTTGGCAGCTCCCCCTTGTGGACATTATATCTACAGTATATACACTGTATATTTCATGATATATTATATGATATGATATGATAGGTGAATAATTTTGATGAAAACCCCACTTTAATTCAATATTATCAAGAAATCAAGTGATACATTGTAATGTTATATTACACTTTTTTGGATCATGTTTAACATTGCCATACATCACTCATCACTCATGTTTTTCCTCATTTTCCAAGTATATATTTAATAGTAAACCCATATATTGTGATGCTTGAGATTTAAATTGACAAGCTTCAGTCATGTTCAGTTCCCTTTGTTATCTAAAGGACATGGGAACATCGTAAGTAAGCTATTCATGAATGCCCCACCCAGTGCAACCAAATATTTCAGAAACTGACACCATATAAATGTTTATTCATATACTAGTTTAGGCTAAACACATGACTCTTTTGATACAGGTTTTGATCAGCATTAGTACTAATCTGTTCTGTGTTCCTAATAGACTTTAGTCAGGCAGACACCATATTGAATTTCATATTAAAGTCTTTATGGAGTTTTTGTGTACTAACAGTGTTTTTGGGAAGATGTTGCATCAGCTGAACAATTGGCATTTTGTTAAACTGCAGTACAATCCATTGAATCCACTATACTTGTGTATACTTGTGTAATGTTTCATTCCTGTCAAAAATTAAATATGACCAGTGAAAACACAGTCACAACAATATAAAAACGCTGTTTAATTGTGAACAACAGCAATAAAGATCACTTTAAATGAAAAAGAAGCATTACAACAAACAGTCTTATGAAAAACCTTTCTTTCATGTTTTATTTATTTGCATGTCGCCCATTTGTGACTTTCAGTTCAACACGTCACACATTTTGTCATTCTTACCCCTTCAGTTGAGAGATGAAAATTCCTCAATTCACTGCTAGATTCAATGTTTTCCTGCTTGTTGAGATTCTGACAAAATCATAGATTTGTTTTAAAATATATCAGATACAATCTCATTAGGGATGACAAAAGATGGGACACCCGAATCTTTCATTTGGTCTCAAGTTTAAGGTTATTCATGATATTTTTTTAGTTTATTATGATAAACATAATGATTATGATGATAACAAAAATCATAATATTATTATGATAACATAAAAATCATTTAAATATTTTATAACAAAAAATAACAACTTTTATACTGAAGTATGAAACTAAAGTGTATAGGAAATTTGTGTCGTCTCACGAACAACTGACAAAGTGTAGCATTTTCTGTATAATTGCCTGTTCTTGGAATATGGATCTAAGGAAGCAATTCCTATAAATCTTATAAAGTAGAATAACAAGCAGTGTTTTTCTCTGCTGATGTTGTCGTGACACTGTTAGAAAATTAAATAATCTACTGGATTCATGTTTGTTCATAGACTAAACAGGACAAAATATAGGGCAACAAAATTCTAAAGATAGATTTATAGCGATATCAAAATGCACTGATTGTATAGGACTTCAATTTGATTAACGAAATAAATGCACATGCATAAATTCACACTCTGCATGTGTTGTGTTTATATGTGTGAGTTAATGCTACAAAAGAAATGCTCTTTGTGTGAGATGCTGATGGTCCAGTGGCCAGAGCTCTTGGTGTCAAAACTAAACCTGGGGCACGTTCAAGCTCAAACCGGTGTGCACCGTTTTGCTACGGTTTCCGGTTTGAACGACACGTTTCCTGGAAACGGTGTGCAACGGGGTTTGAGATGCGTTTTCTCTTGTTTGGTGGGTGTGTCAAGCATGTCAGCCCAATCAGCAGCAACATGTATGTAAACCACGCGGTATTAAAGAGACAGCTCGCACAATGTAATTAACATTCAAATAAATTCACAAGAGCAAGTGTATTGTTTGCACATGTTTATTTACATTAAAGGCAAAATAACTGAAATAATACAGGCACAAGTATATATCTGGAACTTCTTTAAGTCTGTCTAAATATCATTTAGTAATTGCAATGTCTTCTGGTCCATATCCTTTCCTTAGGAAGGTGTGCTAAATACTGATTAATGTAACATAAAAATACTATACACATTTATATATATTTTGATATTGTATTATGGCGTGACACTTTCATAAACTTTTCTATACCCCTCTGATTATATAATGGCAAATATTACAATAGCACAACAACAGTGATCAGCAATAATGATAAGCCTAATACTCGCAATAAAAATAATAAGGTCATATAGATCATAACACAGTCTCGGAGGTAAGAAGTGGATTAGGCTATCCTTTACCTGAAATGTTTGTCTTTTCATCCTGAAATGCGAGGCAAATGTTGGCTCACAATAATTAGGAACCACAGTTTCCACAAATCCCTTCATTTGATTGGGATGTTGGGATCTTTTATTCTGGATGGCAAGGGTATTAAACACATATTTATACCGATTTCATCAGGCTCCGAAAATTCTTCAAAAAGAACACAAAGAATGGCCTTCTCAGCTGCCATAGGTGCAACTCTTGTGTCATCAGAACAGGGTGTTCAACGCACCACCGTTTCCGTTTAAAATACGTTTTGCAGCGTTTTGTCGAGGCTGAACGCAGCCCTGATGCAGGAGACCAGAGTTCAGAGTTCATCCCCGCTCAGCTGTGGTTGGAAAGGAGTGAGAAATAAGTAAAAATAAATAAATAATACATTTAACCGAGTGGGGGAGTACATGGGTATAAACAGTCTTTAAATAGTCGTTTTGGAATGTAGTCGATGACTCAACGTGACGCTCCTTTGGTTAAAATCCGACTCGTATGGCAGAAACTGATAAGCAGTTTTCCATCCGCTCCACTAGGCGGCGAAAGCGAGTTGCAGGTTCAGTCTGATGTCTTCGGATGCTTGCAACAACACGTGTAAGTTAGACTGTTTTAATTAGCCTACAAATCCTGCAGGTGCCAGCTCAGTGACAGAATCAACAGCACATATTCCAGCCCATAAACAAATAAAACCGACACACACTGCGATGAAGTGAAGGAATCGAGTGTCACTCGACTCACCTGTAAGTAAGTCTACGACTAATACAGTGCGGTGTGTTGCATCATCTGTGCGCGGACACTTCAAAATGAACGCACATGGGCTAGTCTATAACTTTATTTTTTGACGGGGTCTTCTGCAAAGATTGATCAGAGTTTGTGTATATGCTGCTGCTGCTGCCTTGCTGAACTCCCTGTCGGACCTTCAGATGAATCGTTGTTCATCATATCAGCATCATATTATTATTATTATTGTTAATGGGACAAATACGTTTTACAACATATTACACCACACATTCAGAAAGGGATAATTCAAAAGAGAGGCAATAATATACCAGGTAGTCTACAGAAGAAAATAAACAAATAGATAAAACAGAAAGAAATGCTAGAAAAGGGGGGGAAAAATCAACAGTAATCAGATTTTTTTTTTTTAATTTTCTAAAGACAGATTCCAGATTCCAAAGGGTTTGGTGATGTGTGGAGAGGCAAAGAATTTCTCCAGAACATTTAACAATGTATCATTCTTTTAGTTACTGGCTAGCATTAAAGATTTTCTCAGTGACTCCATTTCCATTATAAATACTTCACAATTCGGTATGCGTTTTGCAAATGTTAGTTTTATGAGATATGTGAGATATTGTGTTCGGGTTAAAGCATGTTGTTAAGAAGTTGTTCAAGGATGGGTAAGCACTTCTCTTCTCGTATGTGTGTGTCTAACTCCAGTATTACTAAATGGAATGGCGCTGTCTCTTGCACTTCACATGATTGCTTGTAAATATTTTTGTATCTTCAAATTACAAATTACTCATTTTAATTAAATACATTTCTCACAACAGTATTTTGTATTTTAATTAAATACATTTGATGAGCAACTATTTGTAATTTGTAACAAAATAGGCTACTTTTTGATGTATTTGTACTCATCTCTGTCACTGACCAGGTTTGAGTGCTTTGGGAACGAAGAGGCGTCTAACTGACCAGAATGTGTCCGAATCAGCTGTGCCAATACGCTTAGACCAGAGTAGGCTTGGGTGACGCTTGGACATGCAGGTACAAAATGCCATTTCTCCCAACTTACTGGACTGTGTCCAGAAGCAACACGCTGGAAACACGTCATACGTTACGCGTCCATCCACACGTCATCCCGTTAGCTGACTTTCTTGCAGGTGATCTGCCTCAAGAACAACTCCTAGGGGCACCATTCTCACACTTTTTATTTGCTGCTCTCATTATTAACACTCCACTTTTATGAGTTAATGAAAGTAAGAGTACCTGCTGCGGAGAACATTGACACTGTTCTGGTTTAAACCAAGTGCCTGTCAGTAATATATATATATATATATATATATATATATATATATATATATATAAATAAATACAAATAACCAAATTGCCAACAAACATGATTGAAAAATTTGTAAATGAATAAACATCTACTTAAATCAGAGACATACTAGAAGCATCTTGTAAGATCTTTTGTTCTGTGTCTTATGTTCACACTGTGAGTTCAACATATTTTATCTTTATCAGTTAAGAGCAGATCTGGATCATTTACGGTAATTATACTAGAACCATGTTGCTCTGTTGGCCGAGACCCTGACAAAAATA